TCCGAACAGGTAAAATTTTCCAGTTTCGCAAAATCTACTTTTCTACTTTTTCGTAAACACTGCTTTATTCGGCTTTGAAGTTCACGGTGAACAGTTCGAAAACCGCGTCCTCAGACCGGAGTCTCAGCTCCTATAGTTTCCTTTTCAGGGATCGATGTGTCTACTGTCAAAGTCCCCAATGTTTTTAGGATTTTCATGATCGCCGGTAACTCTTTCCCCTATGCAAACACGCGGAGTCTGTTTCAAACTACGGCTGGATAGTGCAAGTTCTCCAGTGCCAAAAGCATACGTCCTATCCTCGCATGAATGCGGGTACAATAGCAGGATGGGATTGACGTTTCGAACTCACATAGAAGTGCACCATCGGAGGTGACCTCGACATCCCACCTCACACGTCTCGGGGGGCGACTGCTGCACCAGAGACTTGGCTGTGCCTATTCAGAGCCCCCTGCTGTGGGGGGGAGGGGGGGGGAGAATCCGTGGTCAGGTTGGCGGTCTGAGTCATTGCACACTCCGAGCCCGTCTGGGTGCTGCTGACAAGGGGGCAAGGCAGTGCATGGCGTCTGTCATGCTTCCACATGAGGCCTCTGCGCTTGTGATTTCCTTTGTAAGTTTTATTCGCCTTAAACGTGCATTATGCCTCTTAAATAAATTACGTCTTTCGGGCCTAATGGACAGACTGTTTACTTAAAAGAAGACGAAGGCACGATCACTGGGACAGTAGTGATCGTGCCGTCGTCTTCTTTTAAACAAGATCCTGGGATGTGCATATTCTCTTTCGTTTGTGAGACTGTTTAGTAATGGCGGGTCGATGTACAGGACCTATACGCACTGTCTCTTTCTCTCTGGTGGTGCAAGTGTTCTTCCTGCTTTGGCTTTCTGGATTTAGGACGTCGAAGGTGCAACCGGATGCTACGTTGTGCTGCGCCACTAGGGACAACGAGTCCAGCATTCTGATGAGACTACCACAAAGGGAGGCGAATGGAAGTGAAAAAGTTCTTCAAACGGGCCCAGACTCGTCTCAACAAACCGGAGGAAAGGTCACCTGAGGCCCGCAACCATCCGAAGGCAGTTATAAGCCGCTGCCTACGTGGTCGCCCCCAGAGGACCCACACAGCATAAGGGATGTTTCTGAAGCCTCCGAGCGCCGTGCTGCAGAGCTAGGTGTTGGTATTGCACACCGGCCCAAAGTCACCATGAGCAGCAAGTTCATGAAAAGTAAAGACCTTCTAAGTCCCGTCCTTCTTTCTGCTTTGGCCTCAAAGATTTCGGATGTAGCAGATGCACCCATATGTGGCTGCCCCCACCTAGAAACTGCGTCATGAGTCGGACCTTGCTGCTACCGAGATAATGGCCCCACGCCGGAAACCAAACAGGCCGAGGATTGACTGAAGACTGGGGAATTGGATAAGAAATGATTCAATCGATTTATTGATCTGGCGCCGACGTACAGAGCCTTGCGCATTCACCTCCAGTCTCGCGCCATTGATCGATAAATGTCGTTCGTTCTGTTATTGCCACCATACCCGACGATGGAATCCTGAACGAGTTTGAAACCTCAGGATGGTAAACAGACTGTTCTGGGGCTTGGTCAGTCATCTTTACCCATACACACAGGCAGCGATGGTGGCGTCTTGTACAAGAAGTTGGAACGTTTACCACATCAGATATTGCTTCCGATTTCATCTTCAGCCAGTCTGACTAAGTCAATCGTGACATACGGAATTTCGTTACGATAACAAATGCGACGGACTTGGGGATTTTCCAACTGTTGTTCCTTCGGACTGAGTGTTACGTGACGACGGATTCTTCCCTAAATGGTGTAAGACCCGGGTCAGTAGACTTCAGCTCATGCATTTTGGTGTAACAGCACGCGCGACCCTCACAGACAGCGACTTTTGTGCCACCTTGGTGTGTGGCTGTTCGGCGATCGAATGTGGTCTTCTGGTTTTGTAATGGTGTGCAACACGACAGGTGTGTGAAAAGACAGAAAGGCAGGGTACGATCGATTCTACGCAAGCCCCCTTGATGTGGTACAATTGACCTGCAAGTCACCAGCACCGCTTTTGGGTCCTCGTTGAGTAGAATGGACAGACGATCTCGCTGGCGGAGGGAGACATGCTGATGGATTGCTTGCGGCATGCGTAGACGGGCAATTGAAATTTTTCGATCTCCTGTGCCTTATCGGAACATTAGATGGCTGACCGGTTGGGATGACAAGTCGGTGCACCGAAGAGGTGACAGAAAGTAAGGCTGATTCTGGAGACTCCATCTCCAGGTCACTAAGCAGATATTCCCCCCTCCCCCCCTATGTACAATCTGACACGATTTCAAACCTTCTCTGCGAGCTAAAAGTCGTGACTCGGAAGGTCCTCCTCTCAGCACAGGGAGTCAAACTGCAATGACTCCTTCTTACTGCGGCGCCCCTATATCGCTCCAATTCGGTGGGGATCTGGGTCGCCCCTTCCTTGTTTCTGTGAGAACCTGGTTCATCTTGTTCGAACACATGGTGAACATGGTCATTCACAACGGCCCAACTGATGCTGCCTGACACCATATGGCGAAGCCAAGAGATTACACCTGATTAGTAACATTTTAAGATGCGTCAGTAGTCTACTGCCGCGCTCGGCAGACCCCGACTTTATCGGCACCTGTTTTGCGCGAGTATGGTCCAGGAAGTACACGGTCGCTATTACAGCTACGTTAACACACAGGGTGCCAGAGGCCGAAGAAATTCGTGCTTGCACAGTCGGTGGGCTAACTCATGAAATGTCAACAGAAATTCCGAAATTTGTCTTCGTTTTGAAAAGATTAATTAAGTAGAGTCTTAAAACTGGTCAGCCTGCAATATGGTTCTATAATAATTCAGTTACCACAGGACGCCGGCTTTCGAACAAACTCCTTTCTAGCTGCATCCAAAAGCCATACTCCTTAAAAATGACTACTTAATTAGCATGCATCTTTTTATCGACTTTCGAAGCCCTTAAGGATTCAATTATATCTCATGGAAAACATGCATAAAAATATTAATTTTTTGCTCGTTTTGTAGAAAATTGCGTTTTCTTACAATTTAAGACTCGAAGAACGGCTATAATTCGGTTTTAAAAAGTTTTTAACTGTGAACTTTTAATAGCGTGAAATGGCCCTTCATAACACTTCATGTCTCTGCATTTACCAATGTGGCTTGTAAAGTCAACAATATGGATCAAATCCACTGCTTCATTTTATGAACCCGGTATATTCCTCCTTATTACCGTAGAGAAATGTACTGTTTTTCGTATGCGGAAAATTTACGGCTTGTAGTTTGGAAACCCTGATTCCAAGTGTAACGGTAGAGCAAGTTTAAAATTATTCCGGAATCGGAAACGTTTTTGAAAACCAAATTACACCCTTCTTGGAGTATAAGATTGGAATAAGACGTAATTATCTACAGACTGAGTAAAAGAATGAATAATTTTATATATGTTTTCCATTATATATAATTAAATCTTTAAGGGCATCGAAAATCAACGAAAAAATTCGTGCCACTTAAGTAGTCATTTTTTACAGAGTATGGTTTTTGCATGCAGCCGGGACGAATTTTTTTCGAAATCCGGCGTTCTGGGGTGACTGAATTATTGTAGAATTATGCTGCACGATGATTGGTTTTATAACCCTACTTAATCAATACTTCCAGAAGGAAAACGCATTTCGGAATTTCTGTTGACATTTCATGAGTCAGCCCGCTTACTGCATGTCTGGTGTTCGGGCTATTTCTTTGGCTAAATTGCACATTCTGAAGGTAATGCCTGCCTAATCCCCCTGTAGTGGCTCTGTGCGGCGGATGGGCTTAATCCAACGAGGCATTTGATGAGGCCGCCATCATGATAAAAACGCCTCCAAATAATTTGAGTTGCGACGTTGAATTTGCCTCTGATTATACTTATCAGTTTTATTCAGAAGCTCCAATTTTTGTCTGGCACACGGGAGAGGGGAAGAACGGTCGACACTGGCGAATCTATCTTCGTCAGGCCAATACAATTACATGAAGGAGTGAAAGTGTACAAAATTAACAGTCTTTATAGGTGTCTAAGGGTCAATTAAGTCATTAACACTCATCTTTCCCACGCCGCCCGCATGACGAGGTCGGCGGGTTTCGGTCCTTAGGGCTGGGGGAGGGGGGTAAGCGAGTTTTTGAGTGATGCTCTTGGATTGAGTACACGGAGTACCCATCACTGTAATCAGGGATTTGAGGCGGCATGTCGTCATCACGTGAGGTTGGCGTTGGCCACGGCAGAGAGAGCGCTTGTGTCAGGGTTTTCTGACAGCATAGCACCGGATTCGTCAGCCGTATTGCCACTGCCTCGGCCGTTGCTAGTATCCGTTGGCGTAGGCCTTTAGAGAAGCTTGTTGGTGTCCGATAGACAACCTGAAATGCTTCCTTGGCATCGACTCGGTGATCCGTATCGATTAAATGTGCGAGAATATAACTCGAAACCGATCGGGTCTCACCTCTGCCTAGCCAGGCGGGCATATGTTCACGCACCCTCTGCAAAGAAGGCCATTTGTCTAGTAAAGAGTATGAACGACTGTGGCCGGTGGGCACGACAATACCAAGAATGTACGGCCTTCCTAAAATCCACAAACAAGGGCTGCCCCTACGTCCAATCTTGGATATGAGGAATTCGCCCTATCACACCGTTGCGAAATGGTTAGTGGATATACTGAAGCCGCTGCAAGGTCATCTGTATCCTCGAAGTCTGAAAGACTCCTTTGAGTTCTTTGAAGCTATCAAAAATATGAACGTTGGCGGACGGAGGATGTTATCACTGGATGTATCATCGCTGTTTACCAACGTACCTGTGTCAGAAACGATAAATTATCTTTGTGATGTTATTCGTGACATGAACTACCCCATAGGCATGCCAGTAAAAACGCTGAAAGAACTACTGACGCGCTGCACACAAAATGTCCAGTTTCTGTGCAATGGTCAACTATACAGACAGATAGATGGCGTGGCAATGGGATCACCTCTTGGACCGCTCCTTGCAAATGTTTTTATGGGCAAAGTTGAGAAGACAAGATTACGAGATGCCATTAATGATCTCGTCTTCTACGGTCGGTACGTGGACGATATCTTCTGTCTGGCTGATGGTACCACCGATATCGATGGCCTTGTCCAAAAGTTCAACAGTGCGCACCCCTCGCTAAAGTTCACTGCAGAGACCGAGTCAGATAACGAACTTGCCTTTCTCGATGTCCTTCTACACAGACAGGAGGATGGGTCTATCCAGCGCAGGGTGTTCCGAAAGAAAACCTGGACGGGGCAGTACATTAATTTCCACAGTTTTGTTCCCCTCAACATCAAACGAAATCTAGTCCAGGGATTGGCAGCTAGAGTGAGGCGCATCTGCTCACCTGAAACTATTGAAGCAGAGCTCCAACATCTGCAGAACACACTTCGCGAGAACGGATATCCAGATAGATTTATCCTCCGAAATATTGGGGAACGCATTGCAAAGCCCACTGTTGCGACTGCAGTAAAAAAAAGACGTATTCATAAGACTGTCTTTTCGCAGGGGACGCAGCGAGCGAAATAGTCAGACGGCGCTTAACTACAGCTGTCACGAGAGCATTCCCCGCGGCGAATTTACGCGTATGTTTCACAAACTCTCCCCTCGTACATTTGGGAGGTAAAGACAGACTACCGTTGGAGGCCACATCAATGTGCATCTACTCATTCACTTGCTCCTGTGGAGCAGGATACATCGGCCGTACAACGAGACGCCTGGTAAATAGGGTACGTGAACATATGCCCGCCTGGCTAGGCAGAGGTGAGACCCGATCGGTTTCGAGTTATATTCTCGCACATTTAATCGATACGGATCACCGAGTCGATGCCAAGGAAGCATTTCAGGTTGTCTATCGGACACCAACAAGCTTCTCTAAAGGCCTACGCCAACGGATACTAGCAACGGCCGAGGCAGTGGCAATACGGCTAACG